CCCCAAAACCCCAAAACCCCATAAGTAAATAATTTGACTAAGATTTTAGAATTAATTAATATCTTTATTTGATAAAAATATAGTAGTAATTTAATAATTATTCTTTTAATTCTGACTAAATTTAAGAGTATAAATTACATTTTCTTCACTCTTGCAATCAACTGACCTATTGTCAAGCTTACCTCTAATTTCTTTGGAGTTTTATCATTTCGAGAAGTATTATGATCTTCATAAAATCCTTTGATGTGCTATAATTTTGCATCAAGAATTGATTCATTATTCACTAAAGTCTCTCTTTACATGTCTGCTCTTTACCTGTCTGTTTCGAATACTAAAGCTGATTGATCCAATTTTAAAGCTTAATCTGGTGGTATTTTACATCTAAAGAGTTCTTTATCTTGTTTCTTAAAAGCAAGTGTGATATTCTGTAATTTTTCAACCGTTCCAAAATGTAGTTGGCCTTCAATTCATGTTCAAACTGAATGCCGATATTTACTGCTTTTACCAATCAGGATTGACTTACCAACAACGTGCTTCCATTCTTTAGTATCCATAATAGTCAGGAAACCCTATTGGTTAGAACTCTTCATTAATAAATTCTACTATTTGATCCCTCATTTGTCATGCTTTTGATGGTTTTATATTTTACTTCTTGTAACATGCTACTTAGTTGGCATTCATCCGAAGTATTTTTAATTTTCTTCCACCAATCATCTTTATCTATATGATCTTCTCCTATACTTGTAGTTAGGGGTATTTATGTGATATAACTCTGTTTTCCATAGATCACATGACCTTGAGTAATGGAGTAGTTGTCTTAAAATTAAAAATTTTTATCCTGAAATTTTCAATTTACCACTATCTTTTCTTTATTTTTTAGTCTAAGATTACAAATATCTACCAATTAATCATAGGAAATCCATCCAGTAGTTACCACGAAATGAATATCAGTATATTAAGAAATCACAAATTTTTTGTTACTATTGACTCGTAATTCTTCATTTAATAATCATAGCGCTGCTAGATTTCTAATAAGAATTGTTTGTTTATTATTGAAATTTTGATTTTTTTAATGTATTTTGATTCATTTATTAGTAATAGAACTCTAAATTTATCTACTTTAACTTAATTTCAATTACTCTAAATTTGATTTTTACTCATGGGGTTTTGGGGTTTTGGGG